CTCACATTCAAGCACTTTTTCGACGTAACCCGGTAGGTTCTCGCCATTTGACTGGCGAAGTCCGAGCTCAGATTGCGTCGATGGTGTCATCACCGGGTATGGTGGAGCATACCACAGAAGGGAGACCGCGACAGCTCTTCTTCGATTAACCGCGTCGTCCATCAAGGGACGACTTTGGTGGTACAGGAGTGGCGGTGGTGGCAGAGGAAACTCGACCGCTGACCGTCGATGGTAGTACATCGAAACAGAATGAACCTCTCCACCTATTCCACCTATCCGTGAAATGAACGATTTCTATCAGTGCCACCTAACCTTGATACGAAATGGTGATGAAGGGCGTGCTGCGAGCTTGTCAATGGTTCAAATGTTACGTTTGATAGGAAATTTCTGCTTTTGTAACTGAAGTTTTGTAATTGGCGGTTTTGGAATGCGCCATGCATCTGCACATGACAAAGGTTATCTCTGATAATTCTCAAAGCACAAATCCTTTCTGTGCTTAATCAACTCCGAAAGGTTCACGTATGGCATCTTCCGATCATTGTGTTCGACTTTCTGGCGCTAGTGTGTGCTCAAGGAGTCACCTCTATGCGAACTTAGCTTAGGAGAAGAGGATAATCTGTGGAAAAGGAATATGCTCACGGCATCCTCCCGACGCTGGTCTACTCAACGTTTAGTCCTAGGGAGGGTGGGAGGGTAAGTGCTGTGTATTCGGTTCTCCCCCTCACGATGCGCCTCCTGAGTACAAGTTTTTATTCGGTAGTAGAAGTAGCGTAATTCTTGAATAGCGCCTGGCAACATTTTGATGGTGCTACTACCTTTGAGCCGCCTCACCGAGCATTTTGAAACTCCGAGATCGGTAGCGAAGGCTCAAGTCATCTGAGTTCAAAAACCGTAACGAAAGAGCAAGATCGTTCCAGGAAGGGCCGTGTTTTTTGTAGGCCAAACACTCGTGTTGTTTCAGCGTTCTGAATGGACGGTCCACTTGCGTGGCGCCTGCCACGAGTTGATCTGGACTTCGCAAGCCAGTTTTGGCACCTTGGCATTTTCAGCCTTTTATGTATTTTTATATCTCTATTTATTGATATTATTAGAATCTGAGATAGTAATTTTAGCTTACTAATCTGTGCCTTTTCACCCTTCAGTACTTTACTCTTACTACTTTTTCGCTTGAGTAATTCGCGTAGGTACATGTTTTCACTTAATTGAAACCAGTAAATGATGTTTTTCCCTCCTTTGTCCTTACCACTTCTTCGAAGTCACTTCAGTGTAATAGTGAGTTCTATTTATTGTGTTCCTTGTTTACTACTAACTATTCCATCTGCTTTTTTTATCGATCAGACGATTATATCTATTGGTTGGCCTATGAAAGAAGCAGTTTATTTAGTGCAAAGACTCCTTTCAGCGCCGTGTTCCATGCCGCCTAATCGATTCATTTTTGTTTTTCATTCCTCTTCCCTTCTGCCACTGTCCTCGTCTTTTCATCGTATTCTTCGACTTTGAAATCAATTTTTACAGCTATGGTAATCATATCGACAATGATTCTGACGAGTTTCGTTGGGAACTCACCTTTCAGGATAATGCTCGTATTAGGAGTGCTCATTCTGGGAGCCGCAGGTTATTTGTCCTACCTGTACATCAGAAGACAGAACAGTATTTCATAATACTTGTTAGACTAAAGCTCCAACCATGATATGAACTTAAGCCCAAATCAATAAGCGCATGAGCGAAAGATCTCCGGATAATTTTGAGGCTATCAGGCGATAGTATCGTTCAGAGTCCACGTGCGGCGATTAGGCAACGTAGGCCAAAATAAACGATATGTATCGATTCAGTGCGATAAGGAGAGTAGTCGTTTGAGCGAGTAGGGATTAGGCAACGCAATCAGTCAGTCCGGTGGGCGAGCGAAACCACTCGATACGTATGCATCAAACTAAGTCCACTGAATCGCCAATCGCATGTGCGATATGCGATTACGTCGTTGCAATTCTACGATGATATTTCGAATTTTGTGAATTACTTCTAGTTCTACTTGGATTCTTGCCACCCCTTATCCAGCTGGAAATTCTTTTGTGGGGCCCCACTCTTATCCACGACTGTTTATCTATCTTGAGCCGTCGTTGACCAGTGGACTAGTACCTTAATTGAATTAGAATCGCAAAAATTGAGCAAGAGAGTCTTGCCATCGCAGAGGTGGTCGACCACGTGGTCGTCTCTTGTTCCGAGGTTCCCAGCGCACAGTAGCAGTGCTCCAGCGTCCATCGTCACGTCTCATTATATGACCCGAAAAGGTGTTTCGCTTTGTCAATGTGAAGGATGTCACGGACTTTTGAAATTAAGAATTATAAAATATGTTGAGGGCACGATTGTTGTGATGAAGTAGGCATGAAACTTAACATTGTTTGAAATCATTAAGTGGAAAATTCTTCCAAGATGTAGTAGCATTATCAACTCCGCCCCGAATTCCACGTTTGAAAGCTCCGAAGTTGCAAAAGTTTTCAGAATATTATAATTTCATGCCGTTCGTGAGGGATTGAGAGGCAGCAACAAGCTCAAATTCTTCTTTTTTGGTTTTGGCTTTCAACCTATTTCATTTCATACACGTAGTTCAGATAAATGCCATGTTTTTGTGCTATGGGCCGCCAGCCTCAAAAAGTAGTGAATCTATGATCAGGTACCCTGTTTTTGTTTCGCGCTTTGATACAGCAGTAATTAAGCGTAAACTCATCGAGCAATTGCTCGACAAAGAAAAAGTACTATTCATATAATTTTATCTGGTTTCCGTGAATTTTTTTCTTATAGAAACAAGTTTGTTTCAGCGGTTACGAGAACTGTCCGTGATCGTTGAAAAACGCCGTCGTGAACGGGACCTCTCGAAGGAGGCCGCGCTGAGGTCAGCGGAACAGTTGGACCCCTCACCGGAGAGATACCAGATAGCTTCGTGGAGCTTTCAAGAGCTCAGAGGTCTGTTAACTGGATTCTTTTGAAATCTTTCCCGATTATCTCGCGATACTTTTAGTTGTTGTAATTCTAATTGTAGTTGTTTTTATTTGTAACTGTTTAGTTTCAGGTTTAGCTACTTTTAGTTTATTTATTTATTTATTTATTATTTATTTCTTTATGACTATTGTTGCAGAACTAAAACAGATAATAGGATTCTGAGCAAAACCATTTCGCAATTGGTCAAATAAATGTAGAAAATTAATAAAGTGAGCTTTTGTGGAAAAGAACTTCACAATAACTTAGAAAAACATTGATAATATGAATGCTTACTGGCGGGGGGATTACGGAAAGGAGGGGTGTCCGAATTGAGGAGAGGAAGGGCAATAGTTGCCAAGCCGCAGGAGGAGGGTGCGGCCAGCTTAGAAGGCTTTTGATCTGATTCGAATTTTTTCCATTTGACTTCACATTTTCATCTTTATGGCTTACGACAGAGAACATAATCAGAACATAATCAATGTAATCGCCTTGGACGAGGGCAGGTAGAAATGAAAAGCGGGTAATGTCACTCAGTAACTGGAATGCGCCGTGTAATCTACTCAGGTTTAAAAATCGTGGACGCGTATAAATGATCTCGGTTTTGTCTTACTAACGCCAGGTTTTGAGGGATTGACGCCGCCATTTATCAGTTGTGAGTCAGCCTCTTCCGTTTGACTAGGCTTGGATTTTGCAGTCCCGTTACATTGCAAGAAAATGAATTTCTTCTTTGGCACATTGGCACATTCTTTGGCATCGGTGATCTCCAATATCGTTTTCGAGACGCAGTTGGATAAAGGGAACCTGCAGCACCGTGGTCTTTTTCAAAGTTTTTTCTCATTTTGCAGGCATATGGAAGAAACCCGTATGCCGCCTTGTTGGATGACCAATGTGACTACCAACCATGGCAGCAAGACTGCTGTGCCGGCAAAGCTAGCCAGAGTAGAAGGAGAAGAATCGGTTTGGGTGGAGGGGTTGTAGGGATGACAAGTTCTATACGGTCATACTGGCAGTCATCCTCTGCCTTCCTTCCGTCTCACCTATTCTCACCACCTCCTTTATAATTTAATCAACCTAAACCTGGTTTTCATCGATAACTTGATGCAACTGCGAGAACAATAACCATCTAAGCACAGATTTCAGTTGCTTAAGAGGGTTCAAACCTCGTGCTGGGTCTTGCCTCGAACTTTGAAGTGACTTTGAAAGCAGCAGAATCTCCTTCTCATCCGTCTCTTGGAAGAATTCCTAAAGGCAGTGATTACGATAGATTCAAGAAGGTTTAGAGGAGACGTGGTGGTGCTCAATGGTACGCCAGTGGCGAAAAAAGCGGAGAAATCCGTCAAGAAAACGCAAAACGGGACCCCTTTTTTGGCCGTTGGTTTTCACTCATGAACAGGTAACAGCTCAGAAAGCGGACGTATGAACGAGTTCAGCGCAACGCGTTTGGTGGCAGCCAAACCACGCTCCAATCGAGTTGCTCCAGTTGTGCCGCTGCTGGCAACGCAGCTCGTCCAAATCACCAACTAAACTAGTGGGCGGATCGCTTTTGGGGGCGGAGTGCTTTCGAAGTCCTGCTCAGCAACCAGCGCACCTTTCGTCGTGAAAGCGCCACACTCGCTTCCCTGGCAGCCAAGTAACTGCTTCGTGTGGTGCATATGCTTCCCCGATGCGCTCCCTCTTTATCGTAATCGCTGCCTTTAAAAACACCTACTCGGTCTTCCTATAATATATTGATATCGGCGTTTAACTTACCCTGGTGAATAACTAAATATTTGACATCGATATTTGAAACACTGTACCTGGTGGCTACCTTTAACACTTCCTCCATCCCTAAAAAGCCCAACTGGGGTATGTGGTCGCATAAGTAACGAAAAAACTCTTGAGTTTTGATTTTTCTAGGGATTTCAGCAGAATTTTCCTTGGAAGCTGAGCTCCATTGAAAAGTTGATTTTTTTTCGCTAATCGCTCCCTCATTAATTTCAATAATAGGATTCATATTTCAACCTCTATATAGTCATCAAATTTCTATGATTGTTTCAGAAAATCTTCAGTCTGGTGCCGTGTCATGCATCGAAGTGTTGCAAGCTTATCAGTGGAAGGCGATAAAAGCTCACGAAGCGACCAACTGTGTTGTGATGTTTGTCAAAGTACGTTGATTGCGTCCACAATTGTTCTATCGCGTTTTTCGTACGATTATGGTGACATATAGTGTATAGTAAATAAATAGTAAGCAAAGTGAAATCATGTCAACAAGCAAAATCTGTTTAAGGAAGCGGAACAATGGGCTTTGGAATGGGATAGGAAGGCTCAGGAAGAGGACTTCACGAAGCCAGCTTTTTTCGGTGTGCCGATCAGTCTCAAAGAATGCGTACCGGTAAGTGTTGATACCATCTAATTAAATATTAATTATCCTACTATATATAATTCGCTAAGTATGTCTGTCTGTGTGTGTGTCTGTCTGTACGTACGTCCGTCTGTCACGAAATTCATAGCGCGCTTCGCTGCAGGCATGGAACGCTGTATTTTGAGTATGGTGTAGGGGGTGGGACGGCAACATATTTGGTGGGGTTTATAAAGTGATACCGACTGATAAGATCTGATAAGAGGCGCCAAAACGCCAATTTCATGATATTACTAGCGCGGTGTCCAGCAGTGGTGGTAGCCGGCGTTAGGTTCTAATGAAGTTGATGTGTAGCGTGGGGCGGAAACTATTGGTGGTGTACTGGACGTGATAAGGGCTGATAAGGGATGATAAGAGGCGCTCAAATGCAAATTTCATGAAATTCATAGCGCTGCGTCCTCAGCAGCAGTGGGGCGTTGGTTCCAAGAAGTGATGTACAGAGTGCGACGGAACATGTACGGTGAGGTACAGGAGGTGATAAGGGCGATAATTACGGTATTCGTGGGAACATATAGATCGCTTAAAACCGTGGTTCTAGATAACGCATTTCACTTCAGTATCATCTCATTGCGTTGTTGTCATCAACATAAAATACCGTTCGACCGCTATATTCCCAAAATCCCTAAGAATGTATGATGGATGTTTAGCGAGCGATATACGATAATGGGTATTTCTATTGCAAAATCATTGGCATCAATATTATTCGACCGCTAAATCATCCTGACATCCAATGCATGGTGGCTGTTTACAGACACCACTTTAGCTCCGCACTCCACCGCGCGTATCAGACGGTGGCTTAAAAATGGGCATTCTGTAGAAGGCCAGCTAACGCATTTCACGAAGCAAGTTATTGTTTAGCGGCGGAACCTAACGCTCCGCCGGCTGGCCAGCTTTACGGAGCCCATGCACGCGGTAGTGTGCGGAGCTAATAAATTGAACATTGCCAATGAATAACACTAGTAAAAACATGCCTTTACTAATCAAAATAGGGTCATGAAGTAAGGGGTTGTGGTGCGACAGTTCCCACCGCCAACGAAAGATTTCATTTTTTGAACGGGAGCAAATCCCCGGAAGCGTGACCCAGTTCGCTTCTTCACAACTACCTCGGAGCATTCTTCTCCTATGAAATTTTGTATCACTCCAGACGATATAAACCTTCGCAACACATGCCAACCCTCAGTGGATGGGTCCCTTTAAGTTTTCAAATATCCCACGATGGAAAAAAATGAGGAACACAGACGCAGAAAATCACCCCTCTTTGTCAGGACACTAGCGACAGACTTGTGGATTGAAGAAGAAGAGTTTGTTATTCCAGCTCGAGGGTTACGACCAAACTCGAGGCTTTGTACAAGATGTGTATGCTCCGACGAAAATTGATTCCGTTCTAGTACAACAGATTAAGCGATTAGGTGAGTCAGTTAAGATTTTATTCTCGCGAATCTGATTCGTAGTCGTGACTGGGCAGCTTTTATGCGATTTATTTATTGATTTATGTATTTTGCTCACTATTGTATCGATTTCATTTTCTGTTGTTATTTTTTTCAAGGGGCAGAGATAGAGTGAACAGCTGTGAAAAATAGGCCGTTTGGGGGATCTCCTAGCACTTTACTGATCCCCTTAAGTTCAACAAGTTCTTAATACCTATACTTTTACCTTAATGCTTCAGGAATGATACCCTTTGTGCAAACAAATGTCCCTCAGTCACTGTTATCCTACAGCTGCTCAAATCCGGTCTATGGTGAGTTTAATAGGGTGCTACACCGTTTCTGGTAATCGTTGGTACTGTTTCGTTGATTTTATGAGTACGATTTTTTCTCATTCCTATGTTTTAGCCTTTTAAGGCACCACGAGCAACCCGTTGGACAAAGAACGCACGCCTGGTGGCTCTTCCGGTGGAGAATCAGCGATCATTGCTGCTGGCGGATCAGTAATAGGTGATTTATTAGTCCTGGTGGTGGAATCAAAAGCAAGTCTCGAAGATGCCAAGTTTGGCTGCCAAGTCGGGATTCCATTTCGCATTTGAACCCCGAACCGCAAGGGAGGTAACTACGATTCCTTTTTACTGAACTTTAAATTCTCCGCAAGAATTTGAATCACGGTGTTGAAACTATCGAAAGAGGGTCGAATTTACGGAAGCTTCAAGGCTTGCGATGATTTGCGCGGCGAGAATGTGAAGACCAGTATGGAGCGATTGTGTGGTGAGCGCTGTGCGTCGCGGGGAAGGGAGACTCGAAAAACGGTCATGCGTTGTGAGCCGTTACGATGCGACGATAGTAGGGGTCTGTATACTTTGTAGGAACTCCCTTCACGTGTGTTGTACGTGAGTCGATATAGATGACAACAAAGATTGAGTAGTAGTTCTCGTCGCTGGGAGGTCAGCATGTTTCATCACAGCAGGAGTATTCTTTTGATATATTTTTGCGTGCTGTATGTAATTGTCCTGAACCTGATGTGAGCCCAAGCCTGACTGCAATAGGCGCACCTTGTACAGACCCCGACCTATGAAAAGAGCAGAATCCGTCTCCTTCTGAGAGGCGGGACGTCAAAATTTTCTTCAACTTTGCCAACGCACGGCCTAGCGCTAGTTCAAAGAATTCGTGTGGAGAATCTTGCTTCCGCTACTGTCGGCTGTTCAAGGTATCGGTGGAGATGTCGGTGGTTCAATCAGAATACCTTGCCATTTCACCGGAATCGCTGGAATAAAAGTATGTGATTATTTTTTCACTTCAACTTTGAGCAGAACTTGGAACTTGTAATTGAAAACATGTGGCGTTCCAAAATGGTTGTGAAACTTGCGCGGCTTCAACATTTTCTCCATGAAAGGGCAGTTCAAGAGTTTCAATGGAAACGCTTTCAGCCTGTCTCATCTGCGCTTCTCTCATAGAGAGTGTGGTTCTGTACCAGGACGGCCACTGATCAACTCTAACGATGGTCCGATGACCATGGACATCGAGACAACTGTTGACTTTTTGAGAGAGGTTTGAAAGGCTGCTGTTGTTCTTATTCTTACCCCGTCTGATGGAGCATTTGCTTCTGACATGGGAATGGAATCCACTTTACCCTTGATCCTCGAACTTCCATTCCGATGTTTCACAGTAGTACTACTTTTCGAGGTATGGCGAGATGACTGGACTTCGACGCAGGATCCCTATGTGCCGCCAGTGCTGTGGAACGAGGAACAGTACAAAGAAGGCACTACATGCCGTATAGGATACTACGTTGATGATGGATGGTTCACGCCCATCCCTGCTATACAGGTGAATGATTTTATTCATCCTAGTGAAGCAACACATATTAATATCAAATTAATCACTACATATTCCAAGAAATGGTCTGCGGTCCAGTTTAAGACAAGTGTTCACGGTAAATTGGAAAAGGACAAAGAAATGCCTACATAGAGCGGAGGCTTGACCAAGGACAGAAGAGGATGACGGGTTTCGCCACGAAAGATGCGCTCGTAGCGACTGAGGGCCGCCACCCAATGGATGACGCCGCTCAGTTGCTGAGGATGCTCCGCTCCGCCTTATCCATGATTGTGCTTGGCTGGGTATAGCCGCTCGCACAACAACGCGTAAAAAATGGAAGTTATTACGAGCAGAGCAAACAAGCAGTTGCGGTAATGAACACGATCGAACGAATAGGAAACGATGCTGTAGGAAAGCAAAACCTAAACCTGCACGACTGCCTATCACCCCAATAATTTGAAGGTATTCAGAGGGCAGTACTGGAGGCGAAGAGCCATCTCGAGGCCGCTGGACATACGTTGATACCGTTCCATCCACCATGCATTCCTCGAATAATGCGATATTTTGTCCGAGCTGTATGTGTCGATGGAGGCAATTCCTAACGAAGAAGTTTGTTTAATGTTAGTTTTCCGGGTATGAATCGATAAGACGAGCGAGTTTGAGTTGAGGACTATGAATTGATCGACGCTGTGACGGGGCAAGTGGTGCTTTTCTATGATTCCACTTTGGTTGCAACGTGTGCTAGCTTATCCAACAAAGTTCTTCTTTCCACGTTTGGCTAATATGATGCATTCAATGGCTCTGAACACTGGAGGTGGCTAAAGTCGTTCCCTTGGCCAAGTGGTTTACGGCGTCATGTGTTTGCGCAACCACAGGATTGATTCTTTCCCCATGAAGAAAGACATTAAACTTCCTAGTTCGCGGGAGGTTCTAAAAAGTAAGTAGCACATTTCAGAACTTCGCGAAACCTACGCAGATATCGAAGACTATCGAGGAGATTTCGTAGTACTGATGCAGGAAAAGAAGCTGGATGCTCTCCTTTGCCCGCCTCAGGTTGGATTTCCAGCGTAAAAAACGCCAGATCTTCTCAAATTGGGCTTATCTGCAGGTGATGACAGCGCCGAAGCATCACGTGCCTGCTAAGTTGTTCGCGGCCTGCTGTTATACAGCAGTTTTTAATCTTCTTGACTTTGCAGCAGGTGAGTCACCAGTTACTCATCGGGCCACCTATTTAGCTTCTTATCGTTTCTATTTCTTCAGGAGTAGTCAAAGTTACGGAAGTGACGGCAGAGGATGATCGCAGATTGATTGATGAGTATCCTGAAACGGACCCGTGGTACAGATTAACCAAGGAGTCTTGCAAAGTACGTTCCTTGCTACCATAGAAGAATTTGACGAGAATGATCCCAAACCTTCCCACGGCGCGATTTTCACTCTTTTTCTTCTTCTCCCCAATGTTCAGTCCCGCGCAGTCGCAGGGTCCGCTGTCTTTATCAGTCGTCGCCACTTTGCTCTGTCTCTTCTGCTGTGGCCATGACTTCACTTAGGTCCTTCTTGATACGTCTCTCCACCTCTTCTTTGGGGCTCCTCGCGGTCGCTTGCCTTGCGCTTCGAAGTCCATCGCTTTCTTATCGGATGGATCCTGTGGCCTCCTTAGCACATGCCCATACCATCGCAGACGCTGTTCCCTACCTTCAGCTGGACAGGGGCAGTCTGCATGACCGCTCTGACATCCTCGTTTCTGACCCTGTCCAGTCGCGTCCAGCCGCAGGCCCACCTCAGCATCCTCATCTCAGCGGAGTGAAGCTGCCTTTCGTGATTCTTGTTCAGGGACGTCCTCCTTTCTTTCGGTGCTTTCTCCATGGCGTCGACGTTTGGCTTTGTTCCCTCTTGAGAACTTAGGAATTTACCATCTTTCCGACATTCAGTCGAAGCCCACCTTCCGGCAGCATACCGATTTTCTCTGTACAATTCATAAGGAGGCCTGGAGCAACGCTGAAGGCCGCCACTAACCCGCTTTTGCAGCCAGGAACTGAATGGCCCATCAAATCTTGCGTACGGCATTTATGATCCTCCCATTTTTGGAATCAGTTACTCAGTAAAGGATTCGTTCAGCGGTATGAAAATTTAGTAAATAAATGTAGCACTGCCATTCCTTGTTCATTGTATGGACTAAATCTGTTGTTAAATGCCATTCCGATCCTGACTCAATGTCGAATGCATGACGCATTCCTGAAAGCGAATGGTATAACCCCTTTATCACTGCGTCTCTTTATCTTTTGGCCATCTTGGCGTTGGGATCCCGGCTTTTGTTTGGTTTGCACCGCACCATTGCTGACTCTCGTCATCGAACATAGCCCAGGAAGTATCACCTTTCGACTACTGCTGCATGTCCAAATCATCCGAGTGAATCTTAAAATGTTGCGCTGGTCAGTACCGAACATAACTGAGGATGCAGTGATGTGAAGATTTGTCCATGTATGCGCGGGTTCGGAACACCACTTACACCTCCCGCAATACCTTGTCAAGAGAGAGTGCGCGGCGCAATGCATCACAAAGAGATACAATACT